GGGGAGGTTTTGATTTGAGATTAGGCAGAATTCCTTTCCTGGCAGAGTGGTGAGGTGTTGGCCCAGGCTGCCCAGGGAGGTGCTGGGGTCCCCATCCCTGGAGGGGCTGTGTGGATGTGGTACTTCAGGGCATGGTTTAGTGGTCATGGAAGTGTTGGTTTGATGAGTGTTCAGATCTTAGAGGTCTTTTCAAACCTCAGTGATTCAAAACACTTGAAGTCCTGGAGGCACAGAGATGCCCCCAGGCTGCAGCTCTCTGGTGAGGAGCAGGAGCTGCAGCCCAGTTGGCTCCTGGCACCTCTGGGGAAGAGGAATTTGAAAGGAGGTGTGTGTTTCAGCTCCAAATAACTCTTCCCTTCTGTAAGAAAATGACCCTGGGTCACCAGGGAAGGACTGTGCTTGTAAGTTCTTGTATTGCTTAGGAAACTCTTCATTTCTTAGTATTTTTGCACAAAGGATAATTGAGAGGAAAGCTGTTTTCACAGTTCTCTCTTCAGTTTGCAGTTTCATGTTGTCATGGAGTAGCTCCAGCGAGTCATCCCTGTAAAGAAACAGTTTCTTATGTTTTGGCTGGGCTTAAAATATTTTCCCTAGTGTCAAAGGAAGAGATTTATTAACATTTTACCTAGTGTCAGATGATGAGAAAGATCATATTATGCAATGGGCTGCAGAAAGTGCTTCCTAAGCACATTTTGGAGGAACTGGTTATCTAACTTCAGAAGCAGATCAGATTTCCAGTGTAGGTTTAAGTGTTAGGGTGCATGTCACGCCACTGCTCCGATTTCATACTTGGGTGTTTTTAAAATATTTACATTTACAGGAGTACTGGAAGCAGTGTTGTAAAAACAAGCAGTGCCAGGCTTCCAGAAGATGGGTCAGGCCCTGCTGCTGCAAGAGTTAACGTGCAGAGAGGGAGCTGACACTAAAAGGGACACTTGTGAGAGTGAAGAATGATTTAAATGTTTTCCAAGTGCGTGATGAAAGTGATCCACACACCCACTGTGCTAAGAGGGGAGAGCAGAACCAAGACTGTCTCTGTTGCAGTCTTGAAAGGGGAAATTTTGCTGCTGCTGGAGCTCCCTCCCTGTGAAGAGAAGGAGCCCTTTGGTGCTGCCCGGGGCTCCTTGGACAGAGCTGGTGCTGTGCTCTGCTCCACCCCTTCTCCTTGGGAGAAGTGACGTTGGGAGCACGAGGGCAGGAGGGATACTTGTGGCTGCTCCTGTTTTTAAGGAGTGTGTCACATTCTCTCCGTGGGTTGGGTGATGTTGAAGATGAGCTGCTGCGGCTCCGTCGGCACTGCTGAAACCACGGCAGGCTCAGCGGTGAGAAATGGCAGAAAACAGAGTGGATTTGACATAGATATCTATAAAAAATAACCTCCTTAAAAGCCAAATTGTCCCTGTTGGTGATAGGGGTTTACCTTTCCTGGTCTCTATCATTTGAAGAGCTGTAAGGTGGGTGGACTTCCAGTTTGGTTTGGTTTTGCTCTGATTCGGGTGTGTTCTAGCCGAGGCCAGCAGCAGTTGCTGAGTCAGGTGTGTGCTGGTGCTGAGCAGGCTGGAGTTACAGACAGCAGCCTGGCCTGGGTGACACCAGAGCAGCTCCCTGCTGCTGATGTTGGAACTGATTGTTCTGCTTAATGCAGATCACAGGTCCAGTACTCAGGATAAAATATTTACTGAGCCAGTGCCTGTTCCGGGGGCTCGGGTGCTTCCTCTGCTCCTCAAAGTCTGCATCTTCTCTGTGCTGGCAGCCAAATTCTGCCTGTGGCAAAGGCAGAGGGCAGGATGTTGGAAAGCTAAGGACAGCGTGGTGTCCCAACCCAGGAGGGTGTTTTCATGTCAAGTGATTTGATCTTAAAATTCTGCCTCGTGGATGAGACCTAAGTGGGGATTTTCTGCCTGGTTTCGAGCCCAGAGACAGATGGGCCACACCACTAAGAGAAGCTGAACCCTGTGATATGTCCACCTGTATTTAGGGACAGCAGGATGCACTCCCTCTCTCTGTCCAAAACTTGTAATATCACTGGAATTAGGTGAAATTTCTTAAGTTCCCAGATGGATGCCCCTCTGCCTGCCTTCATTTCTAGCTGTGCTCCCTTCCACGGGAGGCTCTAATGCTGCCTCTCTTTTCCCAAAGCTCACTTAGCCAGTTGTCTCCTCCCTTCCCCAGCATTTGTATAGAAATAAATTACCAGCTTGAAAAGGATCCACACACCAAATCCTCTACAGCCCCTTTCACATAAAAATCTATTTGAAATACGACTAGATTTCATTACTGCCATGTCTCATCTTAACTGCTTGTTTACACAGAGACATCCAGCCAGGCAGCTGAATGGTTCAGAAACTGATCTAAGTAAACTGTTGCAAATTTCTTTCACACTTGTGTTTACAGGTTTAAAACAAATAAGTTCTGTGTTGTTGGAAACTTTTTCTGGCTGGTTTTCTTTAAGAACCGTTGGCACCCCAAGTCAGATGTGTTTGGCTCTACAGTTTAGCTGGAGTGTGATGTTTAAATGGACATAGCTTTGCATTTTATACCAATTCTCATTTCTCCTCTGTGTCTCCCTGCCAAGAAACCTGCTTCCACTCTACAGATAGACTCACTGCATTCTTTTATTCCCTGCTGTAATGGGAATGAAGTAAAATTATACTGGAGATGTCCATGCTAGGGTAATTAAGCTTGATTACAGATTTCCTCTTTAAAACTTTTTTTAAAAAAGTCAAATCAAAAAAAAACCCAGAATATGAACCTTGGTTACTATTGGAAATTTTCATGATTTGATGGAAAATGGTACAGAGAGAAGGGGGGGGGGAAAAAAGGCATTAAAAAAAATCCCACTGGCAGTCTTCCACCAACATTGTGGGGGTATTTTAAGCTTCCTCCTGTAGGAAATTTTAAATGGTTACTGATTTGTATGTTTTTCTTCTTTCATAAATTAGTGATGCTGGCTGTTGGCAGCTGGAAGGTGAACAGCAGCAGCCAGGTTCTGAACGTGAAGCTGGGGTTTGTTGAGAGCTCTCAGGGACCTTGCAGCAGACACAAAACACATGCACAGGGTGAGGGAGCCCCAGTGTTTGGCAGTTACAGCAGGATATATTCACTGTCTAGGAGCACCTGGGATGGTTCTCCCCAGGAAAGATGGATGGTGTCTGTAGGAAAAATCTCCCTGGCTGTAGTGAGGAGAAAAAGCAGAAGGGGAGAACGTAACGTAGAGAGGAACGAGTCTGAGCAGGGGTTGGTCTCCTGAGAAATACCAGGGGCCTGTGCTTTCCTCAGCACCTTCTCCCTGCTCTGGTGCATTCCTGGGATCCTGGGCAGCTGAACTGATCCTTCTCCGTGGCAGTTCTGGGGCTGAAGGCAGTGCTCCTGCATTTAAAGGGACACAAGAGTGCTGCTCACCACTCCAGATGTCCTCTGGTGTGTCTGCAGCCAGACGAGCAGCCTGCCAGAGCTGCTGGGCTGGCTCTCTCAGCAGCAAAAGTACATCATCAGAACCCTGATGGTTGCAATTATGCCTCAGGAAAAATCTCTGCTATTTTTTTGTGCTATTGTGGGCCCTATTTGGGTTAGAGGAAGGTAACTTTTGACTGCTAATTGTAGAAAAGCTTAAGCTTCCTTTTAATTGCAGCACAGAAAAGTCTGTCCTGTCTCTTGACCTGTAGCTTACTGCCTTTGTTCCTGGTTTGGTGCAGGCTTGCTCATCATTTTTTGAGTTGTTGCAGCAGGGAAGCAAAGGGCACCAGGATTGACTCAGGGTAAACAGCCTGTCTCTGCTGGATCCTCCCTGGCTGGGAGGAGATGTTTGTAACCACCAAATAAACTTCATAATCAATGGCAGAGTTTAAACTGGGTTGCTGCAGCTGATACTCCACAGCTACTGCAGGGAAAATACAATAAATCTTCCAGACCTTATCTACTAGAGAAATCTACCACAGGAAGAAATATTTGATATCCTAAGTGTGACCAAAGGGTGCAGAAACACCCTGACGTGCCAGATATTGATTGGATTAATTGTGTCTCCAGCATGGCTAAATATTATTATCTTAAATGAAGTATTTGCAGTTTATTTAAGTTGTAGAGTCAATATAGTTAATGGATGAAAATATCATCCTGTTTGCTGCTCAAGTGCCTTGCTGGATTCTTACAGTATTGCCACTACTAGTTGAGTTGTCTTGTTTTTCCCAAAATTGTAATCTCAGAGTTGGCATTGCCACCAGTTTGTACCTGCTCTTTGAAGGAGGGCAGCAGTGGCATTTCTGCCATCCAGCACCTTCCAGTTTGTAACAGATGCATTTCCTGCCTCTGCTTTCCCAACTGCAGCACCATTGTCTTTGCTGAATGCTTTACCTCTTTCTTCCATATTAAGCATGACCAGAAGTGACAAAACTGATCAGTGTTTTATTCCTTTGCTGCAGCTAAACAAAAAAAACCCCTCTTTAGGAGTCTATATCTAGTAAATCAAGAGAGGGACACCATATTTTTCCTTGCCTCGTGGGTGATAGGTTAATCTTACAACTAGAGGATGGAAATGGGATGTGGTGAGAGAGTTTTGGAGCCATGGTGTGTGACTGGACGTTGTGTTTCTTGGTTGCTGGAGTGCTCTGGTTGAGTTCTCCAGTGTTGTTCTTCCCTAATGATACCTGAATAATACATTGTTTGAAACAGAGTTTAAAAGGACAATTTAAATGGTCGTTTTTAATGATGTGTAATTATTCAGGTATAATTAGGGAAGAACATTGTTTGAAACAGAGTTTAAAATGACAGTTTAAATGGTCGTTTTTAATGATGTGTAAAGGCTCCCACCCAAAACATGAAGTGAAAGCTTGAAACTAGTGTTTAAAAGCAAAGCACTGACGTTGATGCTGTTTACTAAACAAAGATGAAGTAGCTCAGGGCTGATTTTAGGAAGCCCAGGTCGCTTTGAGAGCCTCTCCCTGGTGTAAGGCTGCAGTTTTGCTGTCTGTTGATCCCTGCTCCTCTCTCCTTCCTGGCAGAAAATGATGCACCCCGTGGCCAGCAGCACCACGGCCTTCTGCGGGACCGGCAAGAGCTCCTGCCTCAACGAGGACGGCGTGAGGGCCGCCGACCAGTTCGACCTGTACGCCACGCAGCAGAGCAAGTACGGCCACCCCGTGGGCCACAAGCCCATCGCCTGCCCGCGGCAGGACGCCCTGGGCGAGCCCCACCTGCAGCCCCCTGGCGGCAGGAGCCTAGAGACAAAAGAGGAACTGAAGAAGAAGAAGAACCTCAACCGCTCCGGGAAGCGCGGGAGGCCCTCGGGGACCACGAAATCGGCGGGGTACCGCACCAGCACGGGCCGGCCCCTGGGCACCACCAAAGCTGCTGGCTTTAAGACAAGTCCAGGCAGACCCCTGGGTACCACTAAAGCTGCAGGATACAAAGTCAGCCCAGGCAGACCTCCAGGTAGCATTAAAGCTCTCTCACGGCTTGCGAATCTAAGTTATACTTGTGGCAGTGCAGCTTTTCCCTATCCCGTGGTGCACAACAGAGGAGTGCACGCTGCTGGGGAAAGCAGTGGCAAAATCAAACAGCCTAACGAGTGAGAGGAGGGGATTAGGAACTCCTCACTAATCTGCTTTGCTCTGAGTTTTGGCACGTTTCTGGTGTTTTGTTGTAGAGTTTCTAGGTTTTATTTTGGTTCAGCTAATGCCATAACCTACAGGTGCGATTGGGCAACGTTTAAAGCAGCGTTGAGAAGAAGGCACTGGGGTTCTGTTGGGTTTTACTTCATCATTTATGAGAGAGTGAGGTGATGCTTTACACCTTGGTGTCGACACTTAAGTAATGCCCACGTTCCTAGTTTTACCTTCCATTTCTGGTAAATCTAGTTGTGTGGTCGTGGATGAAATAATTGAGGTAAGGAGGACAGAACTAGCTGGCTGCTGGTTCATGTTGTGGCCTATCCCCCAGTGAGGAACTCAGCCAGATGAGAACAATAGATTGAGATAGCAGCAAGCTGCATTATCCACTTCTGCAGGACCTTCTACAGACCTCAAATAGATACTGACAAACTTAAAGACCTTTTTTTTTTTTTAAAGTGCTGATTTCAGGTGGCTCTTGTTCCTGGAGTTGTAGCATTAACTGTATTTCAACTAATGCTCCAAACATATTTTTGATGCTGTTAAAAGAAAACTGAGTGTTTGTACAGCACTTGAGAGCCCCACAGCACCTCACTACCAGGGGCTGATTGGCCTTTAGGTGCTAGCTGCTCTTTTAGTTCTGCTCTGACAGGATTCTGCTGTGTCATTTTGAAATGCTTAATAGTATGATACCAAACCACAAATAATCCTTGGAAATATTTTATAAGAAATTAAATACTGTTCATTTTAGTTAGGCACTTGGTTAATATCAAACAGTATGTTCTTAAATCTGTAAATAGCTATTTACACTTTTTTTTTTTGGCCTTTAAAATCTGTGCTTAGGTGGCAACAGTTTAATAGCTTTTAAAGTATTAACCTACAATGTTTACAAATTAAACTTTTTAAATAGATGCTGTTGCCAAGTTTTCCAATTAAGTTCTGCCAGATACTGCTGGGAACAGTAGAAGTGTCAAACAGTGAAATAGCTGTGTTTAAGTTATGGAAGCTTCTATATCTACCAAAGGACACCATTTTGATGATTTATAAAAGCAAACTGTATAGCTGATGCCAACAGGATGCAGTTCACTGCACTGCCAGACCCCAGATATGAAAGAATTCATCTGTGCATGCAAGCTGAAAAAACCCCATTGTTGGTTAACTATAAATACATTCCTTGACTCAAACTAAAACCTTCCCTGCTTACAAAGGAAATGTTCAGTCTTTCAGCTGAGTGTGTTTAATTATTTTTTAAGTGTGAGAGGCCATGTGTGTGTGTGTGTGTGTGTGTAAAATAGACTTCCAAAAAAACTCACTCTTCAACGTGGCATATGGTTTGGTCTAAATTTAACTGGAACTAAAGTGCTTTTTTTTTTCCTCTTTAATCTTGAAGAAAGTTTAAGTTGTCTCACATACAATGTGACATGAAAAATATCTGGGGAAGGGGAGTATGGGGAGTTTGTAGATTGGAGGGAGCAGAAAAAATTGGGGGTTAATTGAACCTGTACTGAGTAACGATGCTGGTGGTTTTTTGTTACCATAAATGCCATTCTGGCCTACTGTCATTTTGATGAGAACTCTTGCTTTCAGTGATGACAAGTTAAGAAACAGATGTCATGTTTCATACCTTTTTTATCAGGAAAAAAGCAGCAAGCCTTCAGGTGTTCCAGTGATGCCTAACACATGTTGCGCCGGACTTTGTGCTGTACTTTACAATAGGTGTGTTGAGTTGTTTTGGGGGAACTCTGTATGCACTGGCAACTAAGACAATGAACCTCAACTGTACCCGACGGCTCCTTAGTGGATAGATGAACTCATGGCAGCTCAACTGCTCCTAAAAAATCAGCTTCTTCAGGCTGAAATCCACTCCGAGCTCCTGCCCCTCAGGCTGGCCAGGCTGAGGCGCTGCCGTGAGCCGATTCGCCCTCAGGACCCGCCTCCACGGCCGTGTTCCTCAGGGGATCTCTCACCCAGAGACTGCTCCGAGCTCTCCCTGCTGAAGCAGTGCCCCTCAGCTGAATGGAACACCCCCAGGAGCCTCGCCTGGACCCCGCAGCAGCTCCACCCCTTGCCTCCTCCTGCTGATCCCCCTGGCTCCCGTTCCACGCCTCAGGAGGCCCTGCAGATCTTCTCATCCCAGGAATTCCATAGTCGAGTGTGCTGATGAAATAAGGAAATCATCTTAAGCAATTTCTGTTCATGAGGGTATTTATTCATTGCACCAGATGGAAAAGAATCCCAGTCAGACCCAATTAGCGTTGGCACTTGTGAAAGGATGAGCCTGAGGAGTGCTCAGAGAGGCTGTGAGAGGCTGCTCAGTGCTCCACATTTAGCCAGGAGACCAGAAGTGCACTGCTGGGTGTTTCCCAACTCTGCCTCACTTTATATCTGACTAGAGTTTACCAGTGCCGTGCAGTGAGGGGAAGAAATAAGAAGCTGAGAGGTTCAAAGTGAACTAGGAATGGAATTTTCAAATACTTCTGCTTTTCCTATATATAATCCGTTGTGCTTTTCTCAACACTTTTCTTTCCATGAGAAACACTGAAGCAGCATGTTAATGCCTAAACTTTATTAGTACTAATGGGAAAACTGGCCTTTTCCCCCCATAGAATGAAAACATTACTTGTAAGGTCAATGGCTTATTTTATATTCTATATCATAATTCAGCTCTTTGTAAGCTAGGATCACTGTTGTGTGTTAACACTGTTCAGAAGATCTACATGTTGAGTTAATTTCTTTTAATTAATCGAGTTTCTAACGTCTTATTTATACATAAATGAAATGTATTAGCTTGCTATTATTCCTTACTGATGCTATACAAGTTCACTGTTTAATAGACATAGAGGAACTACTATTCAGTTTCTGATTAAACTTATGTAAACTTTAAAACCAAATAATTTTGCTACTATAAAGTCTTGCACTGGACATATTCAAGATGCTAGCACCGTATTTTGGCAGGAAGTAAAAACCATCCAATACCATCAGAAGTGGCTGAATGCTATCAAAGATAGTATCTTTAAAATCAGCTTTCTCATTAAAGCAATGTTCTTTATATCTTGGATTTAGTTTAAAGTAGTCAAAAGGAACTTATGTATCAAGAGCCATTAACGATCTCTGTTCTAACGAGGCTGTTTTGTCTGAAAGATCTCAAGAGTTCAGTCAGGACAAAACCAAGGCTTGCCAGGGGAAAGTGATGTGTCTGTGAAAAGAATTCCTTGGGACTGCAGGACAGAGAGTCACTCGAATTTCCCTCCCTCCCCCCTGTCTGGAGAGCTTTAAAAGGCAGAGCAAGGTGAAGTCATTGGTCCGATGGTTTCATTAGCTGGGACTCTGCTGGTCTTTGTTAGAGGTATAATAATTTTTCACACCATCCTTAGAGTTGACAGTTAAAACAATCATAAAGACTTGGAACTGCAGACTTCCATTTCTGACCACAAAAGAAGTTATTCTTCTCTATTTTAATGCATATATTTTAACACTGCTTAAATATATTTATGACTTTAGTACTAGAGACTAGACCAGATTTCTCCTTGTTTTTTTTTTCCCCAAATAGAGAAAAAAAACCAACCCTGTCTTCTGCAATTTGAACCACTTTCTGATACTTTAAACTTTCATCATTTGCTTTTCCACAGGTTGACTTTGGGGGCAATGGTAATTCTCTTAAATAATTAGTATCAGCACCCTGTCCTCTGCTGTAAAAAGCCTGATTAGATACTGTGTATGTTTTTATGTCCATGAACTTGAGCTACTCGTGTGCAATTATGTGTATGGGAATGGAGTAGTGTTCATGATCTGTATTTACATCATCATATGGATGTATATTTATTAATAAAGTTAATACTTTAAAACCTAATAGTGTTTTTCTTCTCTAGAATCTGGCTGGAGATGGGGTTGGGAGCATGACCAGAGAGCCTGAGCCCTTCTCTTGGGTATCTCCTGATGTCTGGGGCACCCTGGAGTGACTCCAGCTGCCACTGGAATGTTTTGCTACAGATTTCACTGAAAAACTGGTGGCTTGTGGCATTCTGTTCCTCCCTTAACCTCCCTGGGGTGGAGCTGAATCCAGCTGCAGGAGACTGTGTGTGCTCCTGCCTGGGCTCCAGAAGGCACACAGGATCTTGGGAGGCTGCTGTATTGTGTGATTTTTTAAAAAATTGAGTAAATAAGCCCATTCTTCAGCATACTTTGCTTTCTGAATTTCAGTGTGGTGTGTATTGCTTGTAAGAGGCAAGTCCCAGGTGGTTCAGTGAAGCCCTGTTTTTATCAGGGTTCTGCCTGGGGCTCTGGGGGTTTTGTTTTAAGAGAAGTGTGGTCAGACCCATCAGAACTGGCAGCCCTAAAGCTGCTGCCTCCTGGAGCTGCCTCCCAGCCAGGTTCCCTGCATGGCCCAGGGGTGGCCACGGCTCCTTTTGCCCATGGGGGGGGGGGAAATGCCACAAAAATTCTGCTCCTTTTACAGGGTTGCTGGAAAAAATCATTAGTTAACAGCTTTTAACTACTTTGAAGCTGAAAAATATGGAATTCTTAAGTGTTGTTTCAATGATCTGAGGCAGATAAATCTTCCTGCCTTTCATGTTTTTGTGCCACAAAAGCTTGTTCTAATTAATGAAAAAAATATCACAACAATTAGTGCAAGTTTGATTCCTTTGAGATAGGTAATGTTGGGTTGAGGGTTGGATTTGATGACCTTAGAGGTCTTTTCCAACCTTAACACTTCTATGAGCAAGTTGAAAATGATTCTTTGAGTTTCCTGGAAATGGAGTTTCCTGGATTCCTTCGGTGCTTTCAAGCATCCTTGCTTGGCCTCTACCAACCAGTGTCATTATTTTCCCTTTTCATGCAAACCTCATGTTTTAGATCTTTAGACCACCAGCTCCTCAATATTAATGCTTATGCCAACTGGACTTTGAAAGGAAAATATTCAGGCAGGAACGTGTGCAGTGTAAGAAAGGGCAGAGGGAAGTGTCCCGAGGCAAAACTGAGGAATCCCACTTCTGTAGAAAAGCTGCCACCCAAATTATACACATGGAGAGTGTTTCTCTTGCTTTTTCTCAGTGTCTGTGTATGCTTCATGCTCTCCCAGCTCATAATTCACCATAATTCTCACACACTTTTCGATCAATACAAAATTTTGGCAAAATCTCATCGTGGGGCCGTTTCGTTTCCAACCTCCCAAACCGAATCCGTGCTTCTGCACGGCGGGTGGAACCCAGAACTCCTCTGCGGGGCAGCTGTGGCCGTGGGGAGGCCCCGGCCGTGGGCAGCCCCGGGGGCTG